AGTGGGTAAAGCATGCTCCCGTCGTACAGAGGCTCCTCATTGGTTGCATGTTTGTCTCCTGATCCTGACGCTATTTGGTGCATGTCATCCCCCAATCAACTTTGACTCTTGTGGCTTTTTAGAAACATGATTTAAATGGATTTGGTTTTTACTCTCGTTTTCATTTTTATCTTAAATTATCAAATTTTAAGAGTTTTTCAAAAGACTTTATGACACTTAATAGATGAAACCATCATTTAGAAAGTAATATCATTTATTGAAGTTGAAATGTACAATTAACACATGTCCATGATACGCTTCATGCTCATGAACCTGGTGCCGCTCATGCCCATCTCCCTGAAGCTCCTGTACTCTCCGGGCCTCAGGTACATCATCCTGCCTCTGAAGTGGGGCTGCTCGTACATCAGCCAGTGGCCGTCCATCACGCTGCAGGACTGGCACTCGGACATGCGGTAACGCTCCTGGATGTTGTCACAGTCGTCCATCAGCTCGTTCATCTGACCACCGAAGTTCTCCCTCTCGTAGATCCTCATCCTGAACTGACCCCTGTGCTGTTTTCAAGATACAAAAAAACAGGTTATTTTCAGGTTCAATAGGTTTTCCTTCTCAGAGATTTTAGATCTGTTTTAAACTTACCATGGGGATCAAACGGCAGGACCTGATACCACTGCTCATTCCCATCATGCTCATGTTGTCTGCGTACTCGCCCCTCCTCATGAAGTACTGGTTTCCCATGAAGTTGGGGCGGTCGTAGACCATGAAGCAGCCACTCTCCACCCTGCAGGACTGGCACCTGTTCAGGTAGGAGGTCATGTCGGGGCAGTCGCTCATGCACTCATAGGAGCGACCCTGGAAGTTCCTCTCCTCGTAAAAGATGATCTGAAACAAAAGAGTTTTAATGGTTATACTGGTAATATTGTTGGATAATTAATTTTGATTTTCTTTCTTTTTTTATTCCTACCTTGCCCATGTTGACTTTAGAGGTATCTCAGATCTCTGATGGAACTGTGATTGAACTGATACTCTGCCAGTCTGAACAAGTTTCATTTATACCTGTCCAGAGACAAAGACTGTGTGCCCCTCTATTGTTCAAAGTCCTGACCCAGCAGCACACCACTGAGGCCTATAGAGTTTTGAGTTGCTCACCCATCTACCAACACAGACACAAGCTCAAAACAGAATATTCTTTGAGCAAGAATAGAGCATATTTCATGCTTCAGTTGTTGCTTTGGCTATGTCGATGTGCGAAGTAGAGTTTAAAAAAAAGAACAGTTGATGTAAGAAGCTCAATAGAACTTTTGCAAGCTTGTAAAGACCCTCAATAATCTCAACCCTTGATCCCACATTTTTAAAATCTCCATAAAACAAAAGGATCCAACGAAAAGGGGTTAAAGGTTTACCACTTGTCAGCACACACTATCTTGATTTGTTGTGAATCGGTGCGGGGAAAAGCCTAATAAAGATTAAAATCATATAGACAACGTCTTTGAGATAACAATCGTTTAAGGGTCTGTTTGCAGATTAATTTGGAGGGGGGTTGTTGATGTAGCTATAAATTTAAAACGTTAGAAAGTTTCTTGTTTTGCACTAGTGATTTTCATGTTTTCTTCACTTAGTTGAGAAGGATGTAGATTATTTTTGGTAATATTCATTTGGGATTTAACTATTGATTTGACTGTTGATATCTGAGTAACTTAATGTATTGAATGATATAAATTGGTCGTTTTGAACAGGGTGATCGAGGTGAGTGAAAGTAGATGGGGGTGTTGTGTAGCTGGACGTCTGGATTATGCCATATTGGGTTGTATCTATGGTGCTAGTGATAACTTGGTGATATTATGGGTTTTCCACCAGGCTATGCTGCAGGGTACATCAGTAGCTGCTATAACACAATGCTAGTTAGCTGTATGACCCAGAATGAAGAAGTCGATCTGAATCACCAAATGGCCATATCTGAAAGGTTTCGGGGGACTTTTTCTTGTTTTATTCACAAGTGATAATCTATAGGCACCTATTCTAACTTGTGTTAAAGGTCAATGCAAAGAGGTGTTTTAAGCAGCGATGTAAAAGTTTCAATGGATGTGGTGATTCTGATGTTCACGGTTAAACTGTTTCATAAGTTACGATCAGCCACCGCAGACGCTCTGTCACCTCGGGTTTTTAGCCGACATTGTGGAACCTGCTTGTCAACAGGCAAGGCAGGCAACTGCTTTGGACCCCAGTCTAGTAAGGGGCCCCCAATGACTGACACATTTTAAACCACAACAGGAGCTCAAAATATGCAAATTCTGCAATGACAAAAGGAAACCTCCCTAAGAGGGCCCTTCTGACAGCACTCACTCTCATTGCCCTGCTTAGCATTGCATGCATTATTCTTGTGAAAACCAAAGTTTGGGGAATGGGGGAATGGGGAATCTGTCTGGGAGTTAAAAAGAAACAGGAAGAGTGCATCGGGACACTGGCAGACATAATGGGGGTTGGAGGAGCTTACAATTTTTTTTTGCCTAGGGCCCCTACAGACTCTAGAATCACCACTGCTGGTGAGTTGACCGCAATGCTCTGACTGGAGCATATTGGTGCAACTGCTTGGATAAGTAGGACGGAGCCAAACCATGTAAAGTTTTAAAAACACGTAATAAAATCTTAAACTGGATCCTGAAGGTGACAGGAAGCCTGTGGAGAGAAGACAGTACTGGCGGGATGCAGTCACGTCGTCTCTCAGAAGATGTGCAGCTGCGTTCTGAACAAGATGCAAGCTTTGAAGTCCCCTTCAACTCAATTGTCACCTGACACACCCATTTTTATTGCTTGCAAGTTGCTTGATAAACATTTCTGTTCATCATGTTGTTAACAATCAGGAGAATTGTACGTCAGCTTCTCTGTATGGTTACGAAGAACAACTTTCCATTTTGAAAATCTGGAGATACAAATGACTTAAAGAGGCTTAAATGGTAGAATTCAACTTTCATAGTTAATGGAGCCTCATGACTGGTGATGTTTTATTTACCTATCCCAGTGCTTCCCAAAGTGGGAGTCGCGAGACATTGAGAGGGGGGTCACGAGATTCCTTCCAAAAACATCATTTTAAATTTGTGTATTTTATCTATTATTGGGAAATATACTACTACTAATAATATAATATACAAAACAACTAGTTCAAGAGATTAAGTTTGTTCGGCTTCTCGCATTTCTTACCATTATTGTTTGTAAAGGCCTAATAGTCTGCGTGGCTTTGCACAACGTTAAATGTTTTTACCACCTGCAGGGACAATGGGGGTCCCCAGTTTCTGGCACCGTTATATTGAGGGATCAGGGCTGAAAAGTTTGGGAACCCCTGGGCTATCTAACTTAGTGGATGTCTGAGTCACACTGGCATTACTGATTGCTTATTATAATACTCACCTTGCCCATAGGATATTTATTGCTCCTAGCTCAGCTTCTTCTGTCAAGGCTCTGGACAGGCTTACCCTGGAATTTGAACCCTGCCTCCTTTTCAGGAAAATGTTATGTTAGTAAAGTCCGGAAGACTTTATGACACTTATTAAATGAAACCATCATTTAGAAAGTAATATAATTTATTGAAGTTGAAATATACAATTAACACATGTCCATGATGCGCTTCATGCTCATGAACCTGGTGCCACTCATGCCCATGTCCCTGAAGCTCCTGTACTCTCCGGGCCTCAGGTACATCATCCTGCCTCTGAAGTGGGGCTGCTTGTACTTCAGCCAGCTGAGGTGGTTCAGGGATCTGTTCAGGATACCTCTTGGGCTCTTTGCTTTTGAGGACTGGAGGCTTGTTTAAATTGGAGGAGACCCAAAGGAAAACTCAGAGCTTTCTGGTGGAATTTTTTCATCTGGTCGGGGATCTTCCAGAAGGAGCTGGGAGTGTTGCTAGGGAGAAAGACTTCTGTGCGATCTTGCTTAGGCTGCAGCCACTTCAACCCAAGCCACGATAAAGTGGAAGAAAATGGATTTGTGCAATCATGGATTTATTTTAACTTTCTTTTGCAATATTGGAGGGAGCAGTTACACTTAAGTTATACAGTTTGTTTCAGTGAGTTAAACCGTAAAAATGACATGAAATATGTCAGGTCTAACACGTTGATGGCTGTGTTGCATATTGTAGCAGCTGTTTATATAACAAAGAACCAAGACTGTATGTGTTTTATAAATGTACATAAAACTCAGTCAACGTTGTAGCGTTGCTGGATAAGTGTGCAATAGCAGAATAAAGTAACTAACATAACATTCATATCAAAGTTGGTGAAGCATAAGCTGAGATACTGAATCCTTTCTGGCACTATAAAGGTTAAACAAAGCAAACGGAATATACATAATGTACCCAGCTCTTGTGATGAATGTAAGAAAGCACAAGTAGGTATAACCAGTTTATTCCTCAATTTCAGGAGTTTAAGAGAGCAGATATAGATCAATGCGAGTAAAATGTAGATTTAAATCACCAGCACACCAAGCATTTGTCTCAACATTTTCTGGAAAGCTGTACTCCATCTAGATGAATGTAGAACCTAATGTTGAAACTGTATAAAATTTAAGATGTGCAATGTTTAACAGGTAACTTTGTTAACTTATTCTACCAATCAAAACAGAACACTCGTTATAAATTATTTGAATGTGATCTTTATTTTATTTGCATACAACCATCCGGCCATCCATCCATCCAACTATCCAAACAGCCATCCATCCATCTCACCATCCATCATTACATCCAACCATCCATCCATCTAACATCCATTCACCCATCCATCCATCAGTTTTTCTGCACTTATGTGGGGTTTGGTCATGGTGGCAGCTAGCTAAGTTTATTATGTAAAATCGGTAAGTTATGTTTTAATATCATGCCATTCTTATTTGCATGGAGATCAATCACATATAGAGATGTGCCCATGATTATTAACGGCTCACTGATGCCCATATAAACCTAATTGACACCCCTCCATTATTGCTTTGCCCCCCAAAAACAACCAGAGAAATTAAAGTAAGAGGAGTAAACTTTTATTTTAGAGGAAGTTTAGTTGCAGGAATCAGTGATACGCCTCATGCTCTGGAACCTCATGCCACTGGAGCCCATGTCCCTGAAGCTCCTGTACTCTCCGGGCCTCACGTACATCTGCCTGCCTCTGAAGTGGGGCTGCTCGTACATCAGCCAGTGGCCGTCCATCACGTTGCAGGACTGACACTCGGACATGCGGTGACGCTCCTGGATGTTGTCACAGTCGTCGTTCAGCTCCTTCATCTGACCGCCGAAGTTCTCCCTCTCATAGATCCTCATCCTGTACTGACCTCTGTGCTGTGGAGAGCATTTGACGCTAAATCAGATCAACCATTCAAAGGTATCTAATGGAAAAATGCAATGCTGAGTAATCACTATCTTACATTGGGGATCATACGGCAAGACCTGATGCAGTCAGACATTCCCATCATGCTCATGTAGTCAGCGTACTCTCCCTTCCTCAGAAGGTGCTGGTTTCCCATGTAGTTGGGACGGTCGTAGACCATGCAGCAGCCGCTCTCCACCTTGCAGGAGTGGCACCTGCTCAGGTAGGAGGTCAGCTCAGGACAGTCGCTGCTGGTCTCATAGTGACGACCCTGGAAGTTCCTGTCCTCGTAGAAGATGATCTGCAATTACAAAAATAGCTCATTAGTACAGTTCTCAATGAGTTCTGTAAATCTGAAATTGAAGCACCCTTTTATTTTTTATTTTTTTTTGAATCATTCCCAGTACCTACCCTGCCCATGGTCATGATTGTGCTTGTTCCTCAGGGGAGCTGTGGCTGCTGTGTAGTACCGATGGTGGCTACGGTTACTTTTATACTTGCTCAATGTGAAAAAAAGTATGTAGGGCTTCTATTGTGCAAATCCCTTAGTCAGCAACATGGCATAGAAGCCTACTGAGCAGTCAGGGCGCTAAAGGGTTATTATCTAGCACTATACCACTGTGTTGGAAATGCATGTACTGTATACATGCAGCATTGTTGTCTAACAGAAAGACAATAATAGGAAGCTTCCAACTGTAACATGAACTCCAGCCTGACCCCACTGGGCATTGATTGTTCCAATTACTAAACAGGAAAACTTAGCAACCTGGAAATATAGTAAATGTAGCATAATTATCATAAAAAATCAGATTTAAAAAAAAAAGAGTTGGATGTTAAAACATTTTAAAACAATGTGATCTGAGTGTGGGACTATAAAAATGAGAAAATCTAAGAATACTCGGTCAGGAATGGATTAATCGATTGGTTATATCACACTTTACTTGGATCTAAACTGTTATTTTTTGTCCTTTTATCTAGCCTTAACGTCTGATAACTACACCCAAGTTACTGCTTATAGTGTCAGAAACGTTTGTAGTCACTTAGTCTATTTTTGCTGTTCTACATTGTAGCTTAAAAAGTACACAAAGTAGAACATCTTTGAACATTAACTTTAAATTTGGCTGAAACCAATTGCACAAATGTTAGTCATTTTGCAACACAAACTGGTTATCAGATGCTCTTCTATTTCAAGCGTTTTGGGGACATAATTAACTAAATATCATAATGCTTGTGGAGAATACTTTGGTGCCAAGTAGAGCCTGACTGATTAATTGGCCTGCCAATAATATCGGCCGATTTCAGCAAGTGGCAATCGGTATCAGCTAATGTTATCGCAGATATGCGCCGATTTTACTCGATTTATTCACCAGTCCAACAGTTTTGCATTTGAGTTTCATTGTATAACACTAGCAGTTCTCTATCACCATCAGAGGGCGCTATATGGATTACAAAAAGCATCATCACTCTGCAGAGTGTCTAGCGGTGATGCACAAACATGAACAGTTACTCTCCAGTTGAGTGACCATCTTGTCTTCATTATTAATCTTTTCCACAAGTGTTTGATCACTGCATTTGAGGGATCAATGTGATAAATGTGTATATATGTCTATCTATCTCTACAGATCAAACATAGATAAAGAAATATAACGGAAAATTTATCAGTATCAGAGTTTTTTTCTTCTAAATTTTGATATCGGTCCCAAAATCATGTAATGGCCTTAGTACTGACTTCATAATATTTTAAAGTATCTTTTTTTGCACCAGTGTAGAAGGAGCCCATTACCACACGTTGATATCATTTCAGAAAATCATTCTTTTCTTCATATTGTGTAGCATGTTATGGACATTCTGGGCGCCAGTGTGTTTTGTCAATTGTTGGAGAGCGCTTCAAGTTGAAAGTCTTTCGACTTTTCAGAAAGGCGTTGTTGACGTCACCGGCGCTCTTTTTCAAATGTTTGCTATACCCTCTAGTTTTGCCGCCTACAGATTGTGTCTTGTATTCACATCCTCCTCGCTCTATGTCTGATCGGGAAATAAACGATCTCAATTATAAAACATGCAGTAAAAAGTAACGGAGTAGTGTCGGATACAGCGGACGTTGTAACCAGACTGTTGTCATGGAGACAGGACGGACATGCAGCGCTTGAAGGTCTCGTCTTGAAAATCGGAAGCAATTTTTATACTCCGTGTTGTCTCCGTCTCAGGCTGGGCGGACAAGATGATGATTTTTCAGAGATATTTTTCGGTCTCGATCCCTAGATGTCTTGGTCTTGCCTTGGGCTCGGAGATCTCCTGTCTTGGGTATGTCTTGGTCTCAGTTAGTGTGGTCTTGACTACAACAATACTTCAAACAGCATCGTTTGCCCTCTCAGTGGTGCGTTCATAGACTCTTCTCTTCAGTCTAAAAGGGAAAAATTAAAATTCGAAGTACTCATTTCCGTAATGGTCCAATGCACCACTGTGTCTCTACATGGTTGATCTTTTCTTATTTTTTGGTTTTTCTCCACGTGGTGTGTAATTCCATGAACATGTGGTAAACAGAGAAAGTACAAGTTGACTTAGTTATGCAGTAATATCTTTTATGACTCTTAAAGATGGGCGTCACGTTTTTAAATGTTTGTCTTTCAGCAATATTCACCTCAACATTTGTGAACACTGCTGCATCTTTGAATGTCTCATTTCACTTTAACAAACTCTCAGACGGCTCAGCTGATGAGTCCAAAGTAATATCTACCTTATGACATCACATGTTGACCTTTGTTACCGTTCCTTTGAGCTGTTTGACCTCACTTTGGGATCCCTAACCACTTCCTGTTTCTGTGCTTAACTTCATGTCCTAACCTTCCATCTACAGGAAGGGCCTTACTGTATTTTAAAATAAAAGCACACAGGAAGTAACATCCTCTCAGCTTAAGGCAGTACAAACATTCAAAATAAAAGCCTAACCATTTTTTAATTTTAAATGTGAGATAATGTAATTTCAAACGTGATTTAAATGTGATTAATCACAATTACAAATTGTAATTTGACAGCTCAAGTAAAACAACAACTCAAAATGTCTTGTGTGACGACCCTGCTGGTTGTTTATTGTGCTGTCTTTTGCAGATGCAAGTCTGTGTAACAGGTGCTCCCAGTCCATAAGAGCAGGACCCACTTGCTGGGAGGCAGGGAGGAGGAGGGACTGAGATATGCTCATCCCAACTTAGCCATGCTCCTCATTTAACTGTACCTTCACTCATGAAAACACTCTCACACAACAAACAGACTTTCACACCTCATCATGTGTGACACTAGTTTACTTTTGACAGAGCTCGCTGCAGGCACGCATCAAGCTAAACAGAATAGCTCGAGCCGGACAGGAAGTCAGACAAGGAAATGCACAGAGCGTCCTGATAATTTCAAAATAAAACACAAACTCCTGATCGTATTTTTCATCACTTTATCAACATGACGTCAAAACAGAAACAGATCCAGTGGGGCCCGGCGAGCACCTTCCAACCGGACAACTGGCGCTGGAGTCAGGAAGTATGTGGAAATTGGGGGTTAAACTAAACAGGGCCAGGTTCCTCACTGAAATGTGGATGTACTGCACTTTGACACAACAAGGCGAGATTTGAGGTTATCTGACCAGACTTGGACATGTTTTAACTTGCATGTGTGATTTCATGGTGTGACATATTTGATTTATTCTTTTGGATTTTATTTGATATCGGTTTTTATGTAACAATATTTCTATTCATTCACCGTGCTCAAACTTTATAGAATCACGTTTCTAGTGATGTACCTGTGTGACCATTGATGTGTTTATGCACTGCAGACATTTCAGGGAAATCATGCACAGTCTCAGCTCATATTTCATCCTTTGAAATCCATTTTTAATGCATCATAAAAGATAAAAGACATTTCATAGGTGGAAGAAATCTTGACTTGGCTGTGGGTTACATTTATTCAAAGAGCAGCTTTCAGGACGCTTCAAATTCATACAAATTTCTCTCTGATTTTTGAGATAGCGCTTCAAGTTTTGTCTGTTTTTTTTAAATTGCATAAATGAGGAATTTAAAAGCTCTTTATTCTTCTTTATAGATCACTTTATTTATAGATAAGCCTCTTTGATTTCCTAACAGGAGTCCATAATACGCCTGATGGATCCGATCCTCATGTCCATGGGACCCATGCCCATGTCTCTCATGCTCCTGTACTCTCCGGGCCTCAGGTACATCATCCTGCCTCTGAAGTGGGGCTGCTCGTACATCAGCCAGTGGCCGTCGGACACCTGAGCGGACTGGCAGTCAGACATGCGGAGGCGCTCCTGGATGGAGTCACAGTCGTCCATCACCTCGTTCATCTGGCCTCCGAAGTTCTCCTTCTCGTAGACCCTCATCCTGAAGGGTCCTCTGTGCTGTAATATGAAGAGGCAGCAGATTATACGACAAATTGATCCCCCTGTGTTTCACTTTTAATTTACGGTTTTTATATGAGGGATAATCATGAGTTAACAGAGAGCATCATACCATGGGGATCATACGGCAGGAGCGGATGCAGTCGCTCATACTCATCCCCATCAGGCGCTGGTTGTCGGGGTACTCTCCCCTCCTAGCCAGCATCTGGTGGCCCATGAAGTTGGGACGTTCGTAGACCATGAAGCAGCCGCTCTCAACCCTGCAGGAGTTGCAGCGGCTCAGGTAGGAGGTTAGCTCAGGACAGTCACTGCTGGTCTCATAGGAGCGACCCTGGAAGTTCTTGTCCTCGTAGAAAATGATCTGAAAGTCAAACAGTAGATGAGTAAAAACTTCCTCAGCTGAAATGTTTTAAGCCAAATAAAACTATAAAATGTTCTCTTACTCTGCCCATGTTGCTGTCCGACCTGATCCCTGATTGCACTGCTGCTTCCCTCCGCTGAACACCGTGTCACTTTTATACCCGGCATGATAGCTAAATGATCTATAGAGCCATTGTGTGGACTTTCTGACTCAGCAGCTTCAGCGTACAGGCCTATAATGTGTGTTAAATCGGTCTGTAAATGGTTATTATTCCAGACTGTATGCAGCTGGTGCTGTGCCAGCTGCTCCCCCATGGGGGGCAGGTGGGTGACGGGAACACACACACACACACACACACACACACACACACACACACACACACACACACACACACACACAGCTGTGATTCTTTGTGCCGACTCGCTCGTTGTTCTTTTCACTTCAGCAGTCAATCATCGGCACACGCATTTAGACGGTTATGATTTGAACATTATTTGAACATGATTGACGTTAACTCAGTAGATGATTGTGTTGCTGTTCAAAACCAATGAGGAGTGAAATAAAGCCAAGGCTGTAAACGTTACAAACTGTTCCTTGTTTGTTCTGTGTTTCTGGGATGAAGTTTTAAGGTTAATACTTGAAAAAGTGGCACATTGGGCTCTCTGAAAGTTTGATTTTCAGAGGAAAAAACACTGTTAACCGTCACTATATTTATTATTTTATTCACAGGCCCACTTCATATTGTCAGTATTTATTTAATGTGTCATGAAGCTTCTTTCAATCAGTATGTTCTTAATGTACCAACCACTTTACTCTTGAAACATTAGTAATGACGTCTTTTTAACAATCAGACAAACTAACATTGTATGTGAAGTTTAAATCAGCTCCTCAGGGGTGCAGAAAACCGAGCGGCTAGGTTGCGTATGGAGGCTCCTGTAAGCGGGCGCCCCGGTTTCAAATCCAACCTGTAGCTGCTTACATGTCCTCCCTCACGCTCTCTCTCTCTCCCTGATTTCCTACTTCATCCACTGTCCTCAAAATAAAATAAAAATTAGCTCCACTAAGCCTGCTCAACACGTTATCAGAAATAATGATCCGTTCATGTAATGAACGACGGTGTAACACTAACGGGGCTCTGTCTGCACTCACTGGTTTACTCTTATTTATTAATCAAATGTATTTGGGTTTTTATGCCTCCTTTCCAGAGACAGGTCAGTGGACAGATCCAGAGATCACGGAGAGAGAGAGAGAGAGAGAGAGTGGGGCAGGACATGAGGAAGCAGTTACAGGTCGGATTCCAACCCTGGGCCGTCCACCCGGAGGACTAGCTTCCCTGCATGAGGCACTCGTACCTACCACCAGGCCATCATCAACGCTCTTTGCAGAAAAAACTTGAAAAAATAAAGTTTCCATGCTCACTTTACCATAGCTAATCTTATGAAACATTAACATGCAGAACTTTTATCTGCAGTTGAACATTTTTTTTCTGTATTGCTGCATTAAATAAAGAAAAAGATACGAGCTCAAATTTTGTTTGTGTACTCGATACTGTTTTCGTCAAGATCACAATAACCAAGACCAAGACATACAAGAGACCAGAGTGCTCCGAGACAAGACCAAGACATTTAGGTCGAGACCAAGACCTATCTCTGAAAAATCCTCATCTTGTGTTTAGGGGGCACCGTGAAGGTTGTGGCTGTAACCGGGGGATAAAAATCAAACTACAAATGACTTAAAGTTATTTGTTCTTTTAGAAACAGGCGTTTTCCTTCTAATCACAGTGATGACGATGAAAAATAGCCGATCAGTGGTGGTCTTAACCGGCCTTGATTTTAAATCCAGAATCCGCCCAGTCTCATCCAAATGCTTTGGATTCTGAGACCAAGACCTTCAAAAAGGCTCTCGAGACCAAGACCGATTTTAAGCACCACATCGCCTGTTATTTTCATTAAACCAGAAGAAGAATGGACCAATAAGAGCCGACTCTAATCTATCATGAGGAAAGACTCCAAACTTATTGTATTTAGTCGTTATGTGTGATGTGATTGGAGTTCATAAAAACAGGTTGAAGACAAATAATGAAACAGACACCTTATTGAAGAGTGTAAAAACATGTATTGTGAAGAGTGCCATACTTAATATCAACACCTGATACTGTCTGAATCTCGACATTCAAAGGTGACTTTAAAGAGGACATATTCTCCCCCTCCTCTACCTTTTCAAACAGTCCCCTGTGGTCTAAATGAAACATCTGTGCTGTGCTTTGGTCAAAATATATCATGAATCAAGCACCAGAGGAGGTTTGTGACCCTGTATAAACCAGCTCTATCAGAACGCTCCGTTTTGGTGTGTGTGTCTCTTTAAATGCAATGAGCCCCCCCTGAGTTTTCCCCGTAGACATCACTCCTTCGCTAGCGAGAATAAAAATGGCCGACCTGTGCTAAAGTTTTTCTCGAGGCTGGGGGTGGAGTCCATGGGTGGAGATACCAGGAGAGGGGAGGGTATATTTTTTACCAGAATCCCACTGTGACATCACAAGAAGAGCACATTTGAAATGCTCTGTTTCAAATGTTTCAAATCTCTGTGTTGTAAGACTTATGCAGACCACAACCAAAGGACTGGATGGGTTTATTTCACATTTTGTGGGTCGGTAGACACTCAGGTTACCCAAATATATGTTCACAAACACTAAAAGTGGACTTTTCATAATATGTCCCCTTTAAAGGAAGAATGGGCGACTTTTTGATCCTATAGATTTAGCTTTAGCATGAAACCAAAACAAGCTGCTGTTTGGCCACACCTCCTCCATACTGAAGCCTCCGCTCTCCTCCGGAGACACACCTCCAACCCCCCTACACTCGCGTTCACATGAAGGAGTTTAGCACAAGTGGCAGACAAAACTGTCCTCGTCTTGACCTGTAATCACCTGTGTCCTGCGTTACGCTAAGTTAAAATAATAATAATATTAATAATAATAATGATAAAAAGCGAGTATACTCAGGGCTTTACTCTCTTATGTTCGTCCCTCTGGATAAAAGCCTCTGATAAATGAGCTGCAGAAAAAATGAAGGAGATAACTCCTGCACACAAGATAATGATATTTATTTACTTTTTGAGGCTTTTTTATTTGTATTTTCTATTTTTTTAAGTTTTTTTTGCGCATGTTATATATTTCACTGTGTTTTGATTTCTGCTTTTTTAATTCAGCGTGCAGCACTTTAGTAAACTTTGTTGTTTTTATTTGGTGCTTTAAATACACAAGTTTAATGTGTGCTCTTCGGGGAATCAACAATTCAACAGCTTATTAATAACTTCTAACCTGATTAATCGCTTGTATGAATCTATTCCTTCTTTTGAGGATACTGCAAAGTGTCGCCCTGAACTCTTTGTGTAAAATGGATGGTGGTTCACCTTTAAGATATTTTCTTTCTGTCGTTCCTATCTGCGTCAGAGTGACTGATCTGCACAGCTCAGTCGTGCATGTAAAGAACGTGCTCTTCAAGTCTCTGTGGTGAAATGAGCTGTAAGTTCATGAATGTTTGGGAATATTTTTCCTTCATATGAAAGGAAAAATATCACATTTCCATCCATGCTTTTAATAGCATTTATATCTAAGTGCATGCAATATAACAGGGTACTTTATAAAATAACTTAGAGAGTGTTGTTACACTGATGAGTTTAGAACAGGAGGTGCAGAAACTGAGAGAAATATTTTGTGTGCAGTGCGACATCCTGTTTGTAAATCATGAGCCTTCGAGAACCAGATCTGCAAATTTCCTTAAAAGACTCCAGAGAAGCCTGTCATCTGAGTGACAAATGACAACATGACCACAATGAGAAGTTTCAACTCTTACTCGTTTTATTCAGTAACTTATTATTTTTTTCTCAGTTTCAGCAGGAATCCACAATGCGCCTGGCGGAGCTGAGTCTAATGCCGCTGTAGCCCACCTCTCTGGGGCTCCTGTACTCCCCGGGCCTCAGGTACATCATCCTGCCTCTGAAGTGGGGCTGCTCGTACATCAGCCAGTGGCCGTCCATCACGTTGCAGGACTGGCAGTCAGTCATGCGGTAGCGGTCCTGGATGTTGTCACAGTCGTCGCTCAGCTCATGGCTCTGGCCCTGGAAGTTCTCCCTCTCGAAAATCCTCATTCTGTAAGAGCCTCGGTGCTGTGGATCGATTCACAAAGAGGATTTAGGATGCAATTCTGCAGCTGTAAAAAAGGTTGCTCGACACTGAGCATGCTGAAATTTATCGTCTTTCTCTGGAGGTATATTTTCCTTACGAGCTCAAACTTAACAGCACAGCAAGAAGAAACATTAAAGTAGCACTTCATTGATTATTAAGAGTCTCAACTCCATGAACGAGACATTACATTACGGTTTACATCATTAATAATATATCTTTTAAATCTTTGCAAACCTGAGGAATTAGACGACAGGATCGGATTGAGTCACTCATGCCCATAGTGGTGTAATCAGAGTACTCCCCCCTCTTCAGGAAATACTGGTTCCCCATGTAGTTGGGACGGTCGTAGACCATGAAGCAGCCGCTCTCCACCCTGCAGGAGGTACACTTGTTCAGGTAGGAGGTCATGTCGGAACAGTCGCTCATGCACTCATAGGAGCGACCCTGGAAGTTCCTGTCCTCGTAGAAGATGATCTGTTGGAAGAAAAACAGCAGAATAAGCTCTTTTAAAAAAAAAAATAACTCTTGTTTATTTGACATCTTTACATAGTGTGATTGTAGAGTTTCTCTTCATGAAGCTTGTCCTCTGGTTGGTGCTCTACATACCTTGCCCATGTTTGACAATCTGTGTTTGTGGGAATCTGTCCAATGACCTGCAGCTGCCAGCCGGCTTTTATACTTTATACGCGCTGTAACAGGGTTTTGTCATTCAAATGATGTGGAAGCTGATGAATAAGCAGCTCTGCGATCGCTGTTAATTTCATTTATGCCATCATGATCCAGAACAAAGGGAGGGGAAATGGTTGGAAGACAGAAGGGAGAGGAGGGAGCTGCAGATTTTTAACATTTCTCAGACTGATGAAGGCCAGTTTTATCACAGATATATCAAGCTGTATGAATGGATCTGTTATGCTTTGTTTGCATGTGTCCCTACAGGTCAGATCAGTGATGTTTTTAGAATAAGAATGACACACTTTTAGGTTTATTTTGCATCCCTTAACACGTCATTTTATTGCAAAGATCCTCTCCAGCTTCTCATATTTAGTGATATCTGATCAATGTTTGACAACATATTTCAAAGTGATTAAAGGATTCACCCTTGCTCCTTAGATATCCATAACTATGTGTTGATATGTTGACTTCTGAGGTAACCATTTTTGGTGCATGCCCTAGTTACTATTTCCCATGTATCACCTATTACCTTGTTCATAATGGGCGAAATGAACAATGTCGTCCATTAAATAAAAAAAAACAACTGTGTAAGGGTCCAATCAGATTTTCTTTGTGATGGGCACCATTCTGTTATTTCAGTAAGGCTCAGAAAGAAGGAATCAGTCCAATGGTATCCTCAAGAAACGTTTTAAGAGAAGTCTATGACGTCATATTATCGGAGTATCCTGGAGTCCAAGAGGTCTTCTGTTCAGTCCAGTAAACCATAACAACCAAGACTGGATCAGGCCTCCCGGTGATGTGCATCCTGACCGAGCAGAAGTCGACAGATAAAACAACAATAACCCACAAGGAGACTTAAACTAAAAGACAAAGTAAGATTCCATCCAACACACTTGCTTGTTGGAATTTGTCCATTGTTTTTCTGAGAATCTTTAACAAGAACAACGAACTCATCTCCTGTGACGCACTCTGCAAGAACAACGAACTCAAGAATGAAATAATAAAGGAATCATTGTTCCAAAGGTTAACCATCACCGTCTGTTATCAGAGAGCAATTGGGTAATGGCATGTGACTTTCCTCATATGATGCTATTCTGTAATCACATTCTGCAAAAATATGAAGATTATTTACCAAATGATGTCTTGTCCCCCAAAAAATAACTTCTGACAGAATAAAAATAATCATTGATTGCATTGGAAATCCATGGAAACAATCCACACTTCTATCAATAAGCATGGTTGTTGGCTTTTACAAGTTTTGTTTTATGTCAGTTTAGGAAATTCTTTGATAGAGGCTATCACATGAGGACAAAGGGAAATCAAACTTGACCAAACCGTTTTGCTGATATGCAAATCAAACTAATTTAGATGACAAAGGCTTCCCCAGATCTGCACATTCTGCATTTCGATATAAACCACAACACTGCTGCAGCTGGGTGGGAGGCAAGCGACACCAACAACAATGGGGAAGGTAAGGAGCAAATGCTGTTTTTCGAAAGGTTTTCAAGATCTCCAGAGCCAGCTGTTCAAGAGTACACTTCAGTGTTTGAAAGATAGTTTACCAGGGTTTGTCTCTGCTTCCTTCCATTCAGATCACATTCTTCGAGGACAAGAGTTTCCAGGGGCGGTGCTATGAGTGCAGCACTGACTGCCCTGACTTGCGATCGTACTTCAGCCACTGCAACTCCATCAAGGTGGAGAGTGGCTGCTGGGTTTTGTACGAGCATCCAAACTACGCTGGCAACCAGTACGTCCTGAGCCCCGGGGAGTACCCTGATCAGAAGCAGTGGATGGGATTCAATGATAGCATCAAGTCATGTCGCTCCATCAAAAATGTAAGCTAGAAAGAAAGACATTATTAAGTAATGATTGCCTCGCTCATGTAGGAATATTGTTGATGCACCAGTTTCCTGTAACTGGGGACAACGTACTACACAGAGGTATCAACTCGTTTTCAATAGAAGAAAGTCAAACTGGGTAGTTTATTATAAAAATATGGGTTATATCACGATTTCTCATCATTTCTGGGTTTGTCTGGGTGTTTCCAGCTCCAGTAAAATACCAGCGAGTACACCAACCAAGCAGTAATCAGTCAAAGGCCAACAGAGAAAAAGGAGAGATAAAAGGCTCATGATTTGGCAGCAGGGTGCTTTATGTCCATGCCCATTCACATCAAATGTTGAAGGACGCCAGGACAACAGCCAAGAAGCGTATTAGTGGAGGTGATGAGGAGAAGCGTGGGGAATAAGTCAAATGTGGCAGATACTAAATACTAACACTTGTCATCTTTTATTTCCTTATTCTTTCAAGGTGTACGGAAAGTCCTGGAAGATCAAATTCTACGAAAAGCAGGACTTCGGAGGTAAAGCTGCAGAGTGCGTCGATGATTGCCCATCAGTGTACGAGACCCTCAAGTTCCGGGAGTTTAACTCCTGCGTGGTGACCGATGGAGCATGGGTTCTGTACGAGCAGCCCAACTACCACGGACACCAGTACTTCCTGGAGCGTGGAGAGTACCACAGCTACACAGACTGGGGCGCCACCTCCCCGGCTGTGGGATCCTTCCGGAGGATCAGAGAGTTCTAGACCATCCGGGGTTCTGCAGACCCTCAAGGAGTCCACGGCTATTGAAGGCCAGCAAAGTCAGCAGAACCCGGAACCTTAGGGCACAAGTTCTAGAACAAGATTCTGAAATCCCCGGAATTCCAAATTAATTTAAAAGCCAACAGTTCATGAGTTCAGATGTAAGTGAAGTCATGGACTGTTGAGAAAGTTCCAGAAACCTTTTACGGAACTCAACATTCCAGAACGCTAAGATCCAGAGAACCATTCAGCCTTCCCTCAGCCCCATTTTGGCCTCATCCCCTCTTCTTATAATCCCGAGTGTTGTTCTCAAAATGAATAAAAGCATTTTTTCCCCCTATCAGTGTTGTCTTATTTGACTGATATTACAACAACAACAGTGTTCTTTTCCATTAGAACACTTAACAGTCTGTTGGAGTCCAACAGAAAAGGTCTTCAAACCTTGTGACTTCTTACAACACACCAACCTGAGATTTCTGACCATCAGCAGCAGGAACATCATTATGGAATGGGAGAGCAAGATAACTGATGAGACGTATTTAAAATGTTTTACATCATATAGCTATGGCCATATCAACACATTGTCAGTTAGTGAACCACAAAGATTAAGGGACAGGTCTACATTTGGCACAGAATTGGACTATAGACTCCCCATTGTTTACATAACATTCAAAAGACATTTTTATGTTTAAGGCTATTATTCCTGCACAACATCAATTTGTCTTTATCTGTACCAATAGACAGATATTCACTAGCAAGGATCAAGTCACAATCATAGGCCTTTTTTAAATATTTAATGAAAGACTGGTGTTATGGATGTTGAGACAGATGTACGTACGTTGAGATGTCAGGGATGTAGGAAGAGGATGTCGTCCTATAGGCTGGTCTAAAGGCTGGGCAGAGGGCGACTCGGGAAGAGGTTGTTGTCTCAGGCATTATTCTGCCCCGAGCTCATCTTGGCCATGACTATACTAACACTCAGGAGAGGAATACACCAAGTTAAAAATGAAGGGATGAGGAAGGCAGGGTGGGTCAAAGAACAGAGACAGAATAGTGTGATGTCTTCTGATCTGGTTTAGGCGTGGTCCTGCCCCGAACCTTAGTTAATATATTAACATCATATGTTAAAAACTGAACCAACAATGAACCAACAATTAATAAAATGAATCAACATAATTATTTATTACTTAATCATTGAACATGAAAACACATCTGACAATGAGCCTCAAAGATGTCCGCCCAGATTCAGATTTTTTCAAACTGTCTTACTTCCAGTTCAAAACCATTGCATGAAGTTACTATTTGTGCAAAACAAATACTAATGCTACGGTCAATGGACTTGAGATTGTAGAGCGTTTTTTTGTCTTCTCACTTCTCAAAGCGCTTTTACACTGCAGGACACCCCTACACATTCACACACTGATGGTAGAGGCTGCCATGTATAGTGACCATCACGCTCGCCAATGAGCAGCGGGAGCAACTTGGAGTTAAGTGTCTTGCCCAAGGACACATTGGACATGTGGCTGCAGGAGCCGGGGATTGAACCCCCGACCATCCAGTTGAGAGACAACTCACTCTATCACTGAACCACAGTCTAGCAAGGCGCTACACCGGGGCTAGGGGGCGCTATAGCCCAATCACAAATCTGCGTAGCACCAGTTAAGCCCCCTCAGGTATTTTGGTAGTTTTGTTTTCTTTAAAAATAAACTGTAAAAACAGGACCCCATCATAGCTCCCCCTTAGCACTGGAAGAAAAACAGCCACCGTGTCTTATATCTACTATTTAAAATTGTTAAAACTTTTTGAATGGGGTTGCCAAACCAGGACACTGACTTATGCAGGGGTGGTTCATCTATATTGTACGCTTTCCCCCTTTATATCTCCAGGAATCATATTTACTTTAAATTCTGAAATCAGAGTATCTAAAAGACTGAAAAATAAAAGTCACAATTTAAAGTACTAACAAAAGAAAATCTGCCACATTCAAATGCACAGAAAGCGTCTTGCTGCCCGCAACACAGCCCAAAAAAGTTTATTCTAACATAGTCCCACCTCTGAAGAGGCAAACAACCAATCATTGATAAGGATTGTGCCTTGGCCACTGGGTAAACTATTCATATTTGGGGGGCCTGGCCACCCCTAAGCCACCCCTCGGATCCACCCCTGCTCATGCACATTATAAGTGAAAAGACCTTCTTGACAGTGAATTTCCAAGAAACATAAGTCACAATGTCATACTTGCAGGTCTAGAAAATGTTCACTGTTTGAAGTAATTATTCCTGCACAACAGACACGTTCAGTTTTCCTCACCAGTCAAAAGACAATGCTGCAATGAATCACATGCATTTTTGTTTACACAATAATTTCATACTCAGTGATTTTACATGAAAATATTGCCTTAACCTTGATGCTTTCTCTTCAGGTCCTTGTTTTAGGACCTTTCACTGTCTAACTCCCTGCAGGCCATGTGTCAACTAACTTTACATGCACAACAGAAAAACATATCGTATGTATATGTGACACTCAACTTCAAGGTTAGTGATCTTAAATTGCATTCAGTAAATTATCGGCCTCATGAATCTTGCCATCAACACAAAACTTGAAACCAAATGGTTGTCCTATTGAGAATGGTTGCTCACGCTCACCTTCCTGTCCACTCATCAACATCAACATTAATCCATGATGTATGATTGTATAAAATTAATTGTTATGATGATCTGTGTCCTTTTTCAGCCATACTTAGTTTTTGTGAACGGTCAGATGTGCGAGTCGCTTTAAATGTTGCAGCCAAAAGGAATTGTGGGGCGGCATATCTCCTCTCCTTTCAAGATGGTCCAGTGTACCCTATGCTAAAGGAGGTTATAAAGGAAGCATTGACGCACCTTTCATTAGCTTTTAGAGAATTGGAACAGCTCTTATCATGGCCGCCACTTAAATGCTTCGGGGTCATTTCACTCAGTTAGGAACCTTCCTAAGCAAAAAAGACAATTCGAATACACCCAGGGATTATATTAAAGGACAATCATGGGGTAACGAGAAACAGGTGGGCACAATCAGGACAGGTAGACACAAGGCAGGAAAATATGAGGAGCAGGATCTGAAAGACAGAGACAAGGGTAAGTACAAAATAAAACAGGAAATGTCAATAACACTCAAATAAATGAAGAGAAACAAAACATGAACTTAGGTAACTTTTTTGGTTGAGTCAGCTTCAAGAAGTTGAATCCAACCAGAACCTTCTAATGAGAAGCCAGTTGTTAGCAGTGTCAGCAGTCTGAAGTCTAATATAAAAGTGCATAAACAAAACGTATTTATCGCAGGGTTTTTGGATGGAGCAGTGGTTTAGGTACACTTGGCACTGCTAAACAACCATTGTGTGTGGAACGGCAATTCAGTGAGTAAGAACAATGGGCAGAGTCTAGATGAAATTCGAATTGTAATAATGGTTGTACACACTGCTAAGCATGCATTTGATAGTATTGTCTCTGCCATCTATAAAGAGTAGTGTGTTTGTTATTGAATCTAGTACATTAAGCGCTACAGATGGAGAAGGTGAGAATATGAACCAGAGATAAAACATTTAGTGCAACAGACATGGATGCTATTTGTTTGTATCTTTCCTTTTCTAGATCGTGTTCTTCGAGGACCGGGACTTCAAAGGAAAGTCCTATGACTGCAAAGGGGACTCAGCCGACCTGCACGGCTACATCCGCCGATGCAACTCGGTCAAAGTAGAAGGTGGCTGGTGGGTTCTGTATGAGCGAAACAATTACACGGGCTACCAGTACATCGTTGGACCAGGGGAGTACAATGATTACCGCCACTGGATGGGCTTCAATGATTGTGTCCGATCCTGTAGGATCATCAAAAGTGTAAGTCACCAAACAAGCGTGAACATGAAAACATGCACACTCTGTCTTGTTAATGTTTGACTTGTTTCTTCTGCTGTTTTGGTTTCAGGCCATAGGGCCATACAAACTGAAGATATTTGACCGGCCAAACTTCGGAGGACAATCCTTCGATCTGACAGAAAACGTGAAGTCTGTCCATGAGAAATGGCCCCGACAAGAAGTGCAGTCCTGCAAGGTCCTAGGGGGCTCCTGGGTTTTCTTTGAGCACCCTAACTTCTGTGGTCGCCAGTTCCTGCTGGAGAAAGGGGATTACCCACACTACTCAGAGTGGGGCGCTCTGAAAGCAATCGTGGGCTCCATCAGAAGAATTTTGCAGCTGTAAAAGTTCCATGTAATGTAGATCATTGCAATAAACCTCTTTGATGCTGTTTGTCTTTGCCTGTTTGAAGTTTCATTCAGTTTGCTCGTACTATAGAATAAAAATAAATGTACAGTAATTCATAATTTTTTGTGGCAACACATTAAGGAGAGTAGGGATTGTCTGGCACAACTTCAACAACTACCAAGGTGCATAAAGAGTGAAAGGCTTGAAGAGGTCTAACAGCTCCAGCAGCACAGTATGAAGATTAACTTTATTACCAAATTAGACCGATGCGTTTTGGTTGTGGCCGTCATCAGGGGAAATTTGGGAAAGGATTGTGGCGACACATCACCAAAATATGTTCCCAGGATTAAAGGGATGTACGTCTAGTTGGTAGTTCAGGTAAAACAACCTGGGGAACAGGTTGCCTGGTGGCAGTGGCGATTCTAGCGTCTGTTTGGGTCCAAGACAAAAATCAATTAGGGGCCTTCCAACCAGCGTTCATCACCATCAATTCTGCCAGTATCCCAACGCTTAATCCCGGTCTCTCCTGTTTATTTTTTCTTATTATTATTTTATTCCTCTTCATCTTTCTCTGCTGAATTTCAGCAATAATGCATGCAACACTTAACTGGGCAACGAAAGTGAGTGCTATGAGATGGGGCCCCCTTTGGGAGGTTTTCTAATGTCATTGCAAAATTTGCACATTTTAGGATGCTGCTTTGGTTTTAGTTTGTGAGACATCAGGGGCCCCCTTCTGGTCTAGATCCCCAAGCAGTTGCTTGCCTTGCCTGTATACAAGCAGTTCCTATGCCTGGTGGCTGGTGTGTGCACCCATGTGCGGAGGCTGTGGTCCTCTGGGCTGGTGGCCCAGGTTCGGGTCTGGCCTTTGGTTACTTTACAGCATTGGATTAGATTGGAAAATCTTTATTGTCCCCGAAGGACAATTAGGTTTGCAACAAGGTCCATACAGGCAACACACATCCTAAAAACAGCCCAAAGACATGAATACATAGAAACATTACTACCATGGATATCATCATGATGGACGTGAGGGAGATAAGGGACACAAAGACCATCAGTCCAAAGTAAAAGTTTACAGGCAACAACTACCTCAGGTATCTGTTAGATTTGGCCCTCCTAACGTGAGTGACCCTCCTCCCTGTCAGCAGAAGTATAAACTCTGCATTTAGAGGGGGTTTGAGGGTCTTCCAGGATGGCCTGTGCCTTCTGATTGGCTCTTACTTGAAAAATATGGCCAAGGTCATTCAGGTTAACATCGAAATATTTTAGCAAAGATTAACAATATTTCCCAGCCTGTTTTTGTCAGTGATGCCAAGGTTACCAAACCAGTAATCCCAACTCCCTCTGGTTCCCAACTCTTGCTCTCCCCCATTTCTGGCTCTGTCCACTGTCCTGTTTCAAGGTAGGGGCGAGAGAGCCCAATAGTTAAAAAATGTTTGATATTAACAGCAACAGTGGTTAAATATTTTATGGGGACAAAATACTTACTTTTCTTTTAACATCCCAATAGTTGACCTCATCTACCGTGTTGCAATAGAAAATGGACACTGCGAAAGCAAATTCTAAAATGTTATTAGTATCAACAACAAATGTTTTGTTTGACCATATCCCATATCTTATTTATGTTGTCAAGCCAGGATCCAGCCTGCCTCCTGGTTATAAATTATCTCAATCCTACTCAAGAGTTTGAGCAACACAAACTGGAGGTCCAAACAAAATCCAAACAAAATGATCCAAACAAAATCATGATTGGATTACTTAATGTTATCCATTTCATAATGCTTTTTCACTTTTAAACAACAGAAACGTTAGTATAAATCCTGAATCTGATCGTAAACAATGGATTGAATAAAAGAGGTGAAACCTGGTCCACATACAGCAGCAGTGGTAGAGGTTAGAGGGTTGAGAATACCTTCATACCCAGATTTGTCATGTTAGACTTTAAAGCTAAGTAAGGTGAGCCAACAAAGCAATCTTGGAGTCGACACCATCTGAAGCAATACCAAAGACCAACGTTTTATTTGTATTTAGCTGAAGAAAGTATGCGGTCCATTCCTTAATGACTGTACTGCCAAAAACATCAGGCTTAAAAGATACATACATCATAATATCATCAGCATATAGTGAAATAAGATAACCTAAGGGATGCATAAGCTGAGTGACTGCCATAATCAAATATCTGTGATCATATTTGATATCTTCAACATGAGGTCAACAATGCATGAGGGACCAGAAACTTGTCGATCAAACAAGATCAGCATTTCCCCATTTATCAGCAAAGGCACAAACTATGCTAATACAAAACAAAGTTTACAAATAAGCCATAGAGCTCAGACGCTGGTAGTTTGAGTCGTCAGTTTCGTCAACATAGTGGGAGAGTAACTGTGTATGTATGGGTGAGCATGTACAAAATCCAGTTAGCAACGTTAGCAACAGCGCTAGTTTGGTTGGCTGAGGAGGCGTTCATCTGTATTTTTCAACTCCGAAACTCATGAATTGTCGAATTGTTTACACAGTAATGTAAGGCTTTCTCTGGACAGTTCCATAATTCTACTCCATAAACTGAAACACATCTTTGTTTTACTTAACCTTTAAATGATATATGAATGATGAATCATGCTATTCAATGGAGGTTAACCCATTCAGAAGCTAATAAACAGTTGGTCAGAGAGCGGTCAGCTGACTCAGGTGTGGATGTAGAGAGAGGTGGAGCATGACGCCTTGCATGATGCCCTGAATGCACCTGTCTCCTACCACACTGATGGTAAAACCTGCACCACAGCTCCATGTGGCCACAAGCCAACGTCAGCCGTCAGCCTCACTTTCAGCTGCAGAGGAGACAGTTTAATTGGATCAAAAAAAATCATTTCTGGAAGCATGCAGATCAAAAGGTAAGCGGCTGCAGGCATGAGTAAACACTGTTTAAAGCCTGTTTTTTTTTTTTTTTAAACAATTGCAGCATCAGCCTTTGTGCAGGTATAACTGCTGAGGCAATTAAAATGACAATGATGGACCTGGCACAGTGCACTTCAGTGTGACCACATACACTGTATATATACATCTGGACCAGGCCTGCAGGCAATATTGTGTATGTGAAAGGTGGGATTAACAGGCAGTTATCAAACATTAGTGTGAGACCCTAACATGGAGCGTGTGGGAAAGGTAGGAAGACTGTTAGTCTAAATGATTTGATTTAGAAATATAAAACACTTTGCATAAGAACAACTTTACCCTCTACCTCGATCAGGAATCAAAAGGTTGTCTTCATTTCTTGAGTTCTAACCCTTCTTTAAGTCATGCTAATTCACTGCTCCTCACTTAGACCTGGGTTATGTTGGATGCAGTGCAGTTTTGATACCATCCCTTAACAGTATTTTTTATCAATATGTGATATATGTTGTTTGAAATAACCTGTGACTGTCCATTTTCCTCTTCTAGATTGTGTTTTATGAAGACAAAAACTTCCAGGGTCGCCTTTACGAGTGCAGCAGTGACTGTCCTGAACTGACCACCCACTTCAGCCGCTGTAACTCCATCCGTGTAGAGAGCGGGGCCTGGGTTATCTTCGAGAGGCCGAACTACCTGGGCTACCAGTACATCCTGACCAGAGGAGAGTACCCAGACTTCCAGCGCTGGAATGGCTACAATGACAGCATCAGATCCTGCAGGCTGATACGACATGTAAGTTCAATCAGAAAACAGAAGAGGAGTCCTCAGAGGTTTTTTACAGCATGCTCTGGAAAATATAAATGTTGTACATCATCATGTGCACTTGAAAATGCATGCAGTTGTATCATTTTCCCCAGCAGCATGCCTAGCATCAGTTTTAAAACCTTGTCTCCAGATTTGCAAAAGAACTAACATTTTGAGGGAATCAGAGCGCTGCTGGATTAACTCAACAGAATGAGGAAAAGCTGAGTAAATTCAAGCATTTCAAGCATCACAATATTCACTTGAACTACTCTAACAATAGTTAACCATTTTATGGTTATGCTAAGGAATCAGCATGTGGTTAATAACTTGGAGATTGTACCTTCATGAGCACTCTCATTTTCCAAAATCCAGTCATTTGCAGGAACAGATTTCAAGATGGCAGAAACACAGTAATGAGTTTGAAACCAGTTTTGTGAATGATATGTTGATGCCCAGATGCAGACTCATGGTGCAAACCTTGGTCTCGTTGGTTAAGGATTGTGTCATCAGCATATCGAGTTATCAGAGTTTCTGGTTTGTAGATTTGCCCTTTTGGCTACTCTCAAGACATTAATCTGAACAGAAAAGATTTCCAAAGCTTTGATTCTTCCTCCTTTTTTAATTTGAAGGTTTAATCTTTGGGATTGTATGCCTTACTCAGAGCAGTCAGTCGGAGACAGGCGAGGGGGGGGGGGGGGTGACATTGAAAGGAACCATAGGTTGGACTTGAATCCAGGCCATCCGGAGGACATTGGAGCCCCCATTATGTCTGCCAGTGCCCCAATGCACTATACCTGTTTATTTTTTAACTCCTAGACACTTAAATCCTCTTCATGTTCCTTTAGTGACTTTCATTGACAAACTTTAATTTTCACAGTAATAATGCATACAATTCTAAGCATGGCAATGAGAGTGAGTGCTGTCAGACGGGGCAACCTTGAGGAGATTTCCTACTGTCATTGCAAAATTTGCTCCTGTTTAAAATTTGTCAGTCCTTTGGGGCCCCTTACTAGTCTGGGGCCCCAAGCAGTTGACTGCCTTGCCTGTTGACAAGCAGCACCTCTGACAAAGGGACCACACTCATGATATCTGATGGGATTTCTGCGAGGACAAGCAGGAGGCACACCGGGACCAGGTGCTCCTCATTCTGCTGGCTACCTGTCCCCAGGTCTGTAAAGTGTAAATGCAGAGGGGGCTTCACAAAAGGGGGACATATCTAGGTAAACATGCCAGTTACAGAGCCTGTTTCAACAGTATGAAACCTCAAAGTAAAGGATATAAACTTTATTGTAAATGCACGCAGTGTTATGCAGAGTTGCAATCAATACAATACAATACAATAATTTATTCCACTGCTTTGTGGATTAACTAAACCCCTGATCTTTGTCTTGCAGGTTTCTGGCACGTTCGCAATTCGTATCTTTGAGCGTCCTGACTTTGCAGGTCAGATGTTGGAGTTCACCGAGGATCTGAGCTCCCTGCCCGACCACTGGCACTTCAGCGAGGTGCACTCTGCTCAGGTGAAGGACGGCGCCTGGGTCTTCTACGAGCTTCCAAACTTCCGTGGCCGGCAATACCTGCTGGAGAGAGGAGAGTATCGCCGCTTCACCGAGTGGGCCGCCATGAACCCCAACGTGGGCTCCCTCCGCCGCGTCCGCAGCTTCTAGACGGTCCCCCTTTAGTGTGTTTTTAACATAAGTGTTGTTTGGAGGTTTAATAAAACAGATGGTGCTCATATGTTCATCCTTACATGTTCTGGTTTTGTATTTGATTAATGTGATTCAGAAGAAATGTTGTGCAAGTTAATAAGTGAAGATGATCTGAATCCCTCCCAGTGAGCCATTTCCATTCAGCTGCTTTAAAATAATGTAAGAATGAGTCTTTGCTGAGGAAATGCTCAGATTTAAAAGCTGTATAAATGAATAAAGCTGCACCAACCACAGAGATGAGCTATGCTGTCGACTGAAATTGGTTTTGTTCTGCACACCAGCTGACGACATTTAAAGAAATGATATTATATCAATATTTCTATATTTGAAAGAAAGTCATCACAATAAAGTTTCCTTAAAGGTCCAATCAGTGAGATGTGTAGTGAGTGAAATGATAAAGGCAACTTACAATATGATCAGACATTAAGGAAACATGCTATGTTGAAGTGCTGGCTTCTCTGACAACAATGCAGCAGCCAGTATGTCGTCCTTCTAACTTCAGATTCTGGTCCTGAATGGTCTGGATTTGTTTGGACCAGAGAAGGAAGGCGGTTTTAAGGCACCCCCACACGGCCGTTTTGGACGCCCCTCGGTTTGCCAGATATGAGAGCAGTTATCAGGTCAAACCAACAGGTGTTGCAGCAATGGAAGCGGGCAAGAGAACTGGTTCAGATAGAAGTGATTGTACCCAACCTAAAAAGCCTCTGCATGTTTCTAATAAGCTCCACGAGCAGAAACGTGCTCAAACTAGGATCAATATTGGAGATGCTTTTGAAAAATGGAGAGAGGTTAGAACGCAGAAAGGTTTACAGACCGATGCAGAGCTGGCTAAACACTGAAGCTTCAGTGTCCACCACATGGCAACCTGCTTGAGCATGGACTCAAGAGAGGAGGGGGTGGGGGGAGACAGCTCTCTACAATGTTTAGAATTTGGACTGCAGTACCCATTTTAAACACTAGGGGTCAGAGTTACATACTGCTCCTTTAAAATGTGTGTTTTCATTATTTGCAAAACTTATTTCTGTACGTTTGTTCTGGTTCAATGATCAGCGCTTGCAAAGGTAACAATTCTTCAAGAAGCTCTGATCGGTTGTTAATTGTTGAAATTGTAGTTTATGAAACTAATGAATGAATGAATACTAGGCTGTCTAAGGCTTCTAACTGATCCTTCACAGTGGCAGTAAATACATTTTTAGAGCATTGCAATGATAATGTAAAGAGACACAACATAGAATCAGAGTGAGAATCATATTTAGTGCATATTCATATTTGTCCTGGACAGACGATGCACACAATAAAGAGTGAAACAAGGAAAAATAAAGAAGAAATCATCTGAAGCTTTATTTTTTATTAAATGCTGAAAGTAGGAAAACATTTTCAAACCCTCTGGAAGTGTGACAACAATGCAGAAATAGTAAGCAGTAGGTTTAATGATATAGTAAGATACTGCATTTTCTTGCGCAAGATCGATATCAGAATTTATTTTTAAGGATATTGTTAAAAAAATCCATGAAATATGTTTTTACTTATTGGCGCCAAACCTTCATGATTTGAAAATGAGCAACAATTAAATACATCCAACTTTGCATCTCCAAGCATATTTCAATGTTTCACAATGTAGTGAAATAAAAGAAACACCCTCATGTCTCAATATGATGATATTCATTGATCCCTACCTCCATGTTTACAAGAAAGGAAGAAGAAGATATGCAGCGTGTGGTTTCTGTTTCTGTATGGCTCATTTGCACAAACATGCACTATTTAGTCCTTTTTGTGGGTGCACAAACATCATGCAGCATTGGAAATAAAAGCTGTAAACATGAATTTGAAGTTTCATGCACACTCTGTATGTTTGTCCTCCTCTGCCCGCTCTTCCATTCCGTGCGTTTCCGTCTCCCGTGCAGCTGAGCGTCGGTGCAGACAGTCCTCTGACACCGAGCCCACAGAGGTCACAGAGCTCAGCTAAACCTGCAGACAAAGAGCTGCAGCCTGCTGATGACTCAGTGGGATTTGCTGGTAAGAGCCGGGAGCGTGCCAGCTGCTGTTAGTGCTGACGGCCGGCTCACTGGAACAACACTGTGACCCGCCCCCCCAACACTCCCAATAACACAAAGAGATTCCAGCCAGCACGTTCCACCAGCTGGAGTTATTCACCCCTAAAGCCTCTTTGTTTACTGCAGCCTATGATGCTTTGGAGCGAGACAGGAGAGAGAATGTGAGGTTATTTCAGAGCAGGTAACGCATCACATCGAGCCAGTGTGCACCCTCTTGTGGACGATGATAGGAACTGCAGTCAGAATGGTTTGGCGTCTCTCTCTGGGTGTTAATCATGATTTAAACCTGACCCTGTAGTGTTAACAGTTCTCATATTGCTACAGCCGACACATCAGGCATTGACCAGCAACCCAGACTAAAAATCATTGGAGGACTTGCTGAATCCCACCAGTCAACATTTAATGGAAAGTCCTCATAAAAGTGTTAAAGCTGCTGTATAAAAAAAGTATCCTATATTTTAGCAGGAAGGACTTACTGGATGTCCTGCAGCAATACAAGTCAAAACAGACCAAATGTAAACACATAAACACACTTACCAATATGGCAACTACACACTCATACACACACTCAGACGTGGGTCCATTTCAATGTTTTTATCTACAATCCAACTCAAAGTTTATTGGTTCATGGCTGTTTGTAATGTTTAGTCTTCCAGTCTTTCTGCTTCTGTCTGTGATTTATGATTATTTGCGTTAACAGAACCTTGTGTTTCACTTCAGGAGGTCGAGTCTTTAAACATTTGAGCTGCAGGACGTCTTCCCTCTGAGCCCCTAGTTTCCTCATACTCAGTTATTTATAACTCGTGTGGATATGATTAGTCTCGGAGGCGGAGGGGAACGATGTTAATCCCGGGACAAGAATGTTGTTTCTGGCTGCTGGAGTTACCTTGTATGGGAACGAAAGGATGGATGGAGGGACGGGAGAGAAGAGATGGGAACATGCAGACAAAACAGATGATCACAAACAGAATAAAACAAATAAAACAGAATATACTGCAGGGTTAAAAATAGAACAGAAACCAGCAGCAACCAGTCAAGTTGAGGTTTACATCCGTTAGAATTCCCCACAAAAGGACGGTGTGACTGTGGCAGGGAGTTAAAGGACAGATTACCCTTAAATAAATCAGTTCCAGAAGTAGCTCTACATGAAACTACAGGAGAGCAGAGCAATCATATTCAGGAGTGACATAACGACAGACCGTGCTGCAGCCCGATGAGATACATTTGCTCTCGGCCTCTTGTCACCACCAGGAGACGTCCTGCAGAGAGGTCGTGTCCCTGTGATGTGGCTCCATGCCCGCATCTCCTCACAGCCTCCTTCACACACCTGTCACTCAAACACACACTCACACACACACACACACACACACACACACACACACACACACACACACACACACACACACACACATACACACACACAGCATGCACCTACGCTCACACCTCTCACAGCATGCACCTGGCCCTAAAACAGACCCACTTGGACCTGAAGTCGCTGCAGGTAAAGCACAGCTTCATGCATATGGCACGAGTCTATCCTTTTATTGCATGTGCGTTTGTTTCTGTTTGTTATTGTCACTCTGGAGTAAGGCTATGGACGGCCTTAAAGGAGCAGAATCTAGAAGTCAATGCAATGTTTACCTGGGACCCAGTGAAGCTATAATAATATAATACAAAATGTCAAGATTTAAAAACGTCAGGAGACCCCACATGGGGTCTGGACCCGCAGTTTGTGAAAGCGTGCTTTAATAAGAGGACTTTAGATCATTATTTATCCATGTGTCACAGCCCAGACTCAGTGAGTCAGACAAACAGGGAGACCACACAGTTATTTAAACAATCATTTATTGAAAACTAAGAAAAAACATCCGAATAAAAGAATGTGCAGTCTGTAGGTCAGTGGTGACTGTGTGTGTGGTGATGTGGAGAGAAAAAAAAAGACAACCAACCAAAGTTGGTGATGACGAAAGCGAGAGAGAGACTGAGAAGCCATCTTAAATATCAAGTCTCAGTCTGCCCAGGTGCATGACTTCAAATTAACTGGCTCCGCCCATTTCTACCTGAAGGCAACCTTCAGGTAGAGAGGTAGAGATAGAGAGGTAGAGTGGGGAGAGATACGAGGAAGAGCACTGAGCGGTCGTCACACATTCCAAATCATGTTATTTTCATAACAACCTAAAGGTAGGAGTTTCACTGGAGACCACCAGGGGGCAGGATTGTACACAGTGTTAAACAAGGCTGAGTTTATAAAACCAGATCAGCTCGACATGCTGACTGAAGTGCACCATGAAGGATCTGCATCACTTACAGCAGCCGTCCGGATCTCTCCATACTTCTTTTATCTTCCAATCAGAACATCGGAGGAGAGCAGAATAAATGTTTTAGCTTGGTGTGAGTGACTTCAGATCAGAGTCTGAGAGGAGATTGTTTTGGTGCAGATGTCGTAAATTAAACACGAGAAGAGATAAATGTAAGACCCACAGTGAGAAGTCAATCAGTAAGGAGAAACAGCCTGAGACGCTTCACACTCCTGTCTCCACATTCACACTGAATATGAATCTTTGCAGGCGCCCGTGTTTTGCATTCGATCCTTCTGCTGCTCAACGTCGCTGCATAACACACCTTTGTGCTAAAGGTTTACAGGGGAGCCTCATGTGACGTCAAGCCGGGGAGAAGGGGGGGAAAAAAGACACAGCATTGCCATGGAAACCCATCTCTCTCAGTTTCTCTATGATCTCTGATCCGTCGTGGATGAGAACATGAGGGCTGGATTATTGCACAGACATGCAGCAGCAAAGAGAAGCTCCTCGTGTTGGAGGAGGAGACAACCATCCTGTCGGGTCAAAATATGAGAGAAAAAAGCAGGATGAGAGATGTTAAAATGTTCCTCTCTATGTTTATATT